TATGTTGGCTTGATTTCAGATTTGGGCTCTTGTACGCACTGCATTCACTGTCCGCTGTCCCTTAGATCCCGACATGGAGGAGATTCCATCCCTACAATACTTTGTGGACTTTGTGCCATTGAGTAAGGATATCTATGAGAAGAAAGTGGAGACCTACTGCTTGGATATCTCGCAGGAAATCTCCGCCATGACAGTCATGAAGGAGGCTATGGAAACGGCAGCAACAACCGATCTCAGCATCCAAGGTAAGTTGAAAGCATGGACGACATCCCTGAAGCAAACTTACAAGCGCTCTGTCCAGACGGAAAGAGAGCTGAAAACCAACTTGGTCGAGAAAGTCAAGGAAAAGTTCGAACAGACAGTGGAAAGAAAGCACCCCAGCCCGACACCAACGACGGGCATCATCTCATACAAGGTAAGTTTCAAGTTTCAGAATGATGTGCTGACTTTCACTACGCACGAGGTGGTGGATGAGTTGAACGCAGACTACCTGAAGGCGGTCATCGACGAGTATCCTTACACCATAGCGATCGCAGATATGGCTTTGCGTTTGCAGATCAAAGCACAACACCCTCCTCCGCCCCCTCCTGTCCACGACCTGACCTCGCTGAAATTGAATCGCTTCAAGGTCCAGCCACCAAGGGCAGAAAGGGGCTCTGATTGGAATTGGTACTTCCAGTGCACCGGGTGCGGGGAGTCTGGCCCAGTATGCAGGGACTATCCTGCTGCTTCGGCTTGGCCGCACGATTGTCCTAACGGCGAGTGGAAGGTCGAGGTGAAGCCTGCGTGAGATCAAGGTGAGTTTGCAATTGCAGGTGTATAGGGCATAAGCTAGGCATGGCAACGCAGGACAGTTTTGCCCCTGGCTATCAGATCTATCAGTAGGCATTTAGGATTATTGCTCGGACATCATGTTGAAAGGTTATATAACACTTCTCACCAGTCATCACTACTGTTCACGAGTTGACAGCTGCGTTGAGATCCGTTCGCATGAAACCGAGCTTGTGCTTAGGCCGATCAAAGTTCCTTTCCTTTAGATCAAAAGTTCCTTTCCTTTAGATCAAAAGTGCCTTTCCTGTAGGACTTCTGACCTCACAAAGGCGTGTGAAAAAGAATTGCCTTTTGGAGAACAGGTTTGAAGGTAAGAGGGCTTGTGATCGCACAAACAGAGCAATTGCTCTTGACAGCAGGGTTGGACTCGTGAAACTTGTTGGAATGCTTTTGAAACGATACTTGGATAAGATTGTTGTGAAGGATGACGCTGACACTCGATTTCCAGCCCTTCTTTTTTACCCTGGACAGTTGAATTTCTGCTGTCATCCCCTCTTCGCCGAGGTTATGAAGTCATCACGATTTCGACATCGTTGAGCAACTTCTGGTAGAGACTTGGGGCACTAGATTCTTTCAATATCAGATCCAAAGACACTTAAAGAAATATCGCCTCATAGAATTAAACTATTAATGCCTTGTTATTTAGTCATTGACGGAAAGAAGCAAGAGATGGACGAAGACATCTTCGACCAAATGGTTGAAGCACTCAATCAACCATCCACACCAAAAAACACACCCACAGCGAACAGTCGTTGGAGAGCCGACGGAACTTACGACAAGAAACCGTTAGATGAATATTATTAAAACACATTGTTATCAAAAGAAAATTAAATTCCGTTAAAGTGTCCCGACTGCGGACGCACCACTTCGTAAAAATCCAATTTATCAAAGCACCGCCAAACCAACGTGTGTATGAGCAACCGAAGGCACTGATGAAAAATGAACAACCTTCTCAACAACATCAACTTTTGTTGAGAATGTTTGCACGTTGAGGTTCAACCCAAGTCCCCAAAACCTGAACCCCAGACCCCAGCCCAAAAACTACTTAAAGACTTGCCACCTTATAGGGTAAGGAGTATATGGCAGAGGATACTAGGTTGAACATTGAAACCTCTGGGTTTAATGATGAAGTCCAAAATCACCAACACAACCTTCAACCTGTCAAAATCCCCATCAACATCCCTCCAAACCCTACTTAAAGCAACATCATCTAATAATAATATAGACCATACTATAATGACAAGTCATTCAGAGCAGATTGTATTAGACTACCTACTCACCTCCGAAAAGGTGGAAATCCTCAAAGAGAATGGAAGAAAGCTAAAGAAACTCAAGATAGGTGAGAAGACCTACAACTACGACAAGACAAAGCCGCTCACCGACAGGTTAAAACGCAAACTCAAGACTGTTAAACAAACAATGGGATACAACAAATACGAACTGGAAACCAAGAGAGGCATCAGATGGACGAGGATTGACAAAAACGAAGCACTCATCAGCATCCAAAAGAGATTTAAATTAAAGCAGACATCACCGAAGAACAATCTGCTTTCAACAATTATGTCAATTCCTATTCCGTCAGCAACATCAAAGTCAAAGGCGTCAAAGCCCTTCAGTATCTGAAATACCAAGACCAGAGACTGAAGGAATACCTGAACAAGCATAAGGGAATGAACATTATGATGGAAGCATACGGGACAAGAAGACCAACCAAGACATAAGACACACCATAAGGAGTAGAAGATATGAAATCACCAATGCGGAGGAGATAGTGAATGTCCTGTCGCAACGCGTAAAATGGAATTGAGTGAGAGCGGATTAATAAAGCAGTTGGACAAAATCAAGTTCAGTTATGACAAGAATAATCCTACTCGTGGCGGTTCGTTCATTGAACTTCCGAAATGGGTTCAGACCATGAAAGCGTGTATCAACATTGAAAACCAAGACGATATGTGTTTCAAGTATTCCGTCTACACACGCAGCAGATTTGTTGCAATCTTTGCATCTGCAGAATCATGGTTGGATGGCAAAGCCGAATCCGTTCTGTGCAGGCTTTGCTGACTGCACTTTTTGATAGACCTGCTGGAAAGTGCGGAGCTCAAAAAGGCTTGTTTGTGGTGACCGGCAGCTCAACATCTTCGCAGGTGTCGTTTGAACCAGATCCTGGAAGATGGTGGTTGTAAAGGGCTCAAGGCAGGCATTGTTTGTTGCAATCAGGCTTTCACACATATTTTTGGTATGTTTGATGTCTATTTCATAAGTTTAGATATTTCCCCAGCAGCGTAGCTTGGGGGTCTTTAGCCATAGTAACAGCCTCAGAGCAGGTTCCGAGGCAAGGGCTCTGGTGTTCGGGAGCAGGTTGCTTCAGATCTGCTGACCTGGGTTCAGACGCTGACCCTGTCAGTCTGTGAAACGTTGTCCTGCAGGTTGTCCCAATGCGAACATGGTGTGCGCATTCAGGTCAGTCTGTTGTCACTCTGCCATGCGAACTGGCAAAAGCATGAAGTCATGCTGACGCGCGGCTTCTACTCCAACGCTAGCATGTTGCCATGCTGACATCCTGAGATGTTGTCGAGCCGGTGTGCTGGCATGGTGTCATGTTGGCGTGTTGTATATACTGCTGTCACAAGGACGTGTAGACCCGCGACGCCTAGTAATTAGCTCCTTGTACTCGCCATCCATTGGGGGATACGCTGGCATGGTGTCACGCCTTCATATTGTAATGCTGGCTATCATGGGTCTTACCTGACGCGTGGTCACGATGAGATGCTGTGCTGAGATGGCAGGCGCGGGTCAGGGCAGGTCACATGAGCTACGTCGAGTGCCGTGCAAACCCTTCAGCGTGCATGTGTCCTAAGCGGTCAGTTTGCATAGAATGCAGCACTCAGTTGGGTTGTGAAGTAGCCACTCAACTGAACTAGACCATGCTACTGTGGTGCTATATCACATCAAATCAAAAGAAGACACCTGTGAGTGGGTCAACACCTGAGTGCATTTTAAATGGACATGATGCGAGTGACAAACTGTATTTGGGGTCTTTGATCACGACAAGCGAACATGCGCCTGTTTGTGTAGTCAATCGAGGGAGATGTTGGTATATCATGGTATATCAGTATATCACAGACTCACGGACAGGTGATGCTTGTTTTTCCTGGTAGGGAGGCGTATGCAAGTTGGTATTTTATACTTTCTCACTTCACATAGACATTGTTCTGATTTTGCAGTCGGAGTCGCAGAAGGTTTGGTTCCATGTTCAAGCTTATGCGGGAGGCCGATGCGTTGGCGTCCCTCACAGAGCAGCTTGAGGTGCGAAGTGCGAGGGGCGGATGTGACAGAACATGAAAGAGCGAAGGACTTGCAGAAATTCACGGTCACCTAGTAGCTTATTGTTTCTAGTAGCTTCTTGTTACTACTAGTAAGGCACTTGTTACTAGTAGCGATGCACTTGTTCCTAGTAGCTTAACGGTTCCTATGTTTTTCATGAATTACTAACTACTGTATATACTGTCGGGGATCTCGGTTAGAAAAAGCACTGGGCCGCAGTCTCTGGCCGCAATTTTCTGTCCGGGTGTCCTCCGGGTGTCCTCCTCTTGTTCTGTGTCATCCACGGTTGTACCGGCTGGCTGAGATTCCTGGGGTAGAGCCAAGAAGCTTTATCCAGCTAGGAGCTTTCTTCATGGATGGTAAAACTTTAAGATGGGTTTTAACATAGAATTTTATCCATGTCATGTTGGAAGATAACAACTCAAGAGTTGGGTGGCGACAAGAACATTTGGCTAACCTGGTGTCCTGGAATTTTATCCAGCTGATCTTTTGAAAAGAGAATAATAGACTTTGTTGCATCTGGCTGATTCTAAAGTTAGAAAATCTGGCCGATTCTCAATTCAACAACATGTAGAATCAACAAACAAAACCTCGAACAGAAGAAGAACCCCTCACTTTACCAAGTGGTCACATACCAAGGAAAGTGCCTGTTCTAGATCGATGTCAGCAACGATTTTTGAGTCATAGACCACATACCAATGTATACCATGTACAGGTTCTTTGGGCATTGTTGGCACACGGATTGTAGGGGTCCTCTGTTGGTCGGTCGGTCTGGCAACATATGTTTTGTCCATGCGAAGATAGATGCCACTAAGGTGCGTGCACGGCAACGGATTGAAGTGTCAATGGAGGGCCCGCAACCAGTGCTGGTCACAGCGCCTTGACAGCGGAGATTGATCAGATCGTTTTGTTTTTTCTTTCCTTTCTTCCTTGTTTCTTTTCTTTTCCTTTAGACCTTTAGACTTTCTTTCCTTTAGACTTTCTTTCCTTGCTACTAGTAGCGATGCCAGGAGCCCCTAGTAGCGTCCTTAC